TGGCACAAAGTAATTACGGCAAATAATACGGCACATGCCGTAACCGTATTAATTTGTCAAATTAATTCTACCACCAACACTAATCGTGCCATAATTAGCGAGAGTATTGGTTATGAGAGTAGTGACGATGTCAAGGTCAACTGTTGTGGGAGAGATCGTGCCAAAGTTAGCTGAGACATTGGTCGTATGGATAGAGATCGTGTCAAAGTCAGTCGGTAGTTCATTGGGGTGCGGACCAAACTAATTAATCAAACATTAGTTAGGGTGATCATTAATTTCGGATTTTTTATAGGCCGTATATTTAAATATTAAATTAAATTTACATTTTTTAGCACAAGTACCTAATAAAAGTGGATATAATTTTTTTTTTAACTTGAAGCTTTCAACAAGCTCTACATGGTAATAGAGCTATTTTTTAAATAAAATTTTTAAAAATTTTGTAAAAAAATAATTAAACAATAATATTTATGTAATTATTGAATGGTTTTAATAAATTATTGAGAAAAGTAGCTCTATTACCACGTAGAGCTCGTTGAGAGCTTCAAGTTAAAAAAAAATTATATACACTTTCGTTAGATACGTATGCTAATAATTAATTTTTTAATTATATAGTATAAAATTGATTAACGATACGTAATATCGAAAATTGATCGCACTTTGTGCAACATAGGTAAAAGTATAAAGTATAAAGTTGATCACATGATTACGTCATGATCAAGTAGAATATATTTTTTCCTCGATAATTATGTCAGTAAATCCAGCCAACCCTCCACGACCTGCTCTTGTCGCAACAATTGAAGATAGTTTTGCCTATATTACTGCAACATCAAGATGGCCAATAATTGTGACAAAAATTATTGACGATATTTATAAGACTCGTCATTCACTTGATCTTTCAGAAGGTGATAAAATTAAAGAAGGCAAAGAAATTATTGATTCTATAGGAGAATTGAAATATCATATGCAACGAAAAAAACCTTTGACGTATGTCTAAAATACATTTTTTAATGAATCTCAGAAATCATATAAATTTATTAACGTTTATTTGTAAAAGTCCAATCGAAGATGACGGAGAGCCGGATAATGGCACTTGGACATATGTTTTCAACACTTATTTCAAAGATGACAATTGGTACTCAGCAACTTGGCTATTTACTGAATGTTATTTATATCGTCGAATTCATTCTATACTTTCAAGAACCAAACATTGGAATAATTACGATCCTTTTTTTCGTCAAAAAGAAGATGCTTTTAAAGGTTCATATATTGCAATTATCGAAATCGCGAAACGTATTGACGAATTGGTTTACATCCCAAAGCTGCATGCAGATAATGAAGAAATAGATACTGGTAGAATTATTTTCCATGAGCTTGCCCAAATATCACTCTGGGGCAATTCAACAGATTTGTCTTTACTTACCAATCTTAGCGATGAGGATATTAAAAAATTGCAAGATATGGGAACAAAAAAGTTGGAAGAATTAGAGAAAAATATTTTAAAGAATGATTTAGAAAAAGTATGGAGTTATATATCAGAACATCGTAATTCTAGAATTGATATTGTTCTGGACAATGCTGGTATAATTTCCCTATTTTAAACACCTTCACTACAATATATGTACAAATCAATTTATTTATATGCTTGAATTTAGGATTCGAATTATACGCGGATTTAGTTTTGTCAGATTGGTTAATCCAATCCGGATACGCAAAGGAAATCTATTTACATGCCAAAAAAAATTCCGTGGTTTGTTTCAGATACGACTCCGAATGATTTCAATTGGCTCCTCCAAACACTTCAGAGCGAAGATTTTTTTTTATCAGCCTCCGAAATGGAAAAATCTTTTCTCAAAAAATTTTCAAATCGTTTGCAATATTATATTACCAATTCTCAATTATTCCTTACTTCCAATTATTTCTGGACATCACCATATTCGTATTGGCACTTGGCAGAACAAGCACCTGATTTGTATGCTGATTTATGTATGTCTAACCTTGTAATATTTAAGGGTGACCTTAATTATAGGAAATTGGTATATGATTGTAAATGGAAGACTACTACTCCATTTAAGGAGGCTGTTGGACCATTGGCAAACATGAGAGGCTCACCACCTATACTTGCTTTACGAACAAGTAAGGCTGATGTTATAGTTGGACTTGAAGAAGGAATTGAAGAAAGGTTAAGTGTTAATGAAAAGGATTGGATGTATTCTGGAAAATATGCAGTGATTCAGTTTAATATTGGAAATAAATAACACACCTTTTGTAAAGAAATTACTATCTAGAGCATAACTAGGTTTTATTCCCATTCGAATATAATAGTACAACTTTAAAAATAGTAGTTAATGTCAAGCTTGAAGTTGTCCATTAGATCTTTCAGAATAATTATCTTAATATTGGGGACTCATACACAATATTCATTATAATCAATATATATTATATTAAAACATAAGGTAAGTATTGCTTAATTTTAGTTAAGTGATATCCAAAAGCCTACGATTTATTAATCAATCGAATGATTCTGTACCATCTGATTTGTTTCAGTGAGACAGTGTGAAAGTAGTTCAATTCTCATTAGGTCATAAGATGCCTTTGCGAAATAGAAGAAAAAAATTACACACCCGGTGAAAAAATTGACGTGCGCTATTTTCATCCCACACGTTAATTAATAAATATGAGTGCCGTCAAGGGAAAGCCTGTCATACGGACTTTCAATTATATTTTGTGTACAGTTAGCCGTCTGTGGAAATCTATCATGATGATAGATTTTCCATAGATGGCGAACTGTACACAAAATATAATTGAAAGTCCGTATGACAGGCTTTCCTTTGACGGCACTCATATTTATCAGCATCAATAGCGATATATAAATTAACTTAAAAGAGATGTAAATTAGAACCAAAATAATATGGGTATAAGAATATATCCAAAACTGATATATGGAGTCTTTGCAGTAGAAATGGCCGATACTGCCCAAAAATAAAAATCGAGTTTTTGTTTTATTCGGGTAAATTTTGACACGGGCTACATTTTTCAATTATTCCTTAAACCGTTTCTCCTGCAAATTTGCCCTGAAATTTTTGAAGTTCGATTTGTAATTAATGTAGTGTTTGTATCATGGTAAAAATTAAGGTTTTACCTATTTAATCCGAAAATCCTGACTTTTATTTATTTGGAAATTCATTAATTTTTAGTATTATATAATTTATTGTTTTTGTTTTTGGTTCGATCATCTTCTATTGGCTTTGTCGATCCCGATCATTGTTACGATCATCGTTACGATCGTTGTGGTTTTTTTTTATTTACTATATTTTTTTTTACATACCACTTGAATATTATTTTTCAATAAAGATATACGATATGGATGATGATTTTGAAGATAATGACTTATATATTTTTGAGCTAATACGAAATATTGAGAATGAAATTGAAAATGAAGTAAGAGATATTACTGATGTTGATAGTGATGAAGTTGAAGATGAAGCTGCCAATGAAACTGAAGAAGAAACTTCTGATGAAACAGAAGAAACTATAAATGTTAAAAACAAAAAAAAAATTAGTAAAGTTAATAAACATAGTAAAACTAAAAAAAAAAATGTATCTCAATCAAATTTACTATTATCATCACAGTTTCAAAAATTTCAGCATGCTAAATCATATCATATTTCTCAAGTAGAAGTAGCCAATAAATTACCTATTGGCGAAATTACTCCTTATTCAATTTTTCGTCTATTTTTTCCTAATTCACAATTGAATATTATTGTTAAAAATACAAATTATTATGCATTAGTAAAATCTGCTAGTAAAGAGTGCAAATGGGATTCTTTAACAATTGAAGAATTGTTAATTTGGTTTGCCCTAATAATTTATATGGGTGTTTTTAAGTTACCAAGTCGGGAAGATTACTGGAAAACGGATTGGAAATATCCACAACATAAAATCACTAAATATATGATTTTAGTACGATTTAAACAGGTTATATTGTTTTTTTTTTAATTTTATTCAAATTTGTTTTTTGTTTTATTAATTTTTTTTTAAAAATAAAGATAAAGCGATACCTTCATATTGCAAAAATTGAAACAAAAACATCACAGTTACCATGGTATTCAAAAATTGAACCCTTGGCAACACATATTCAAAAAGTTTCTAAATCTATTTATTTACCAAAATCACAAGTTTCAATTGATGAAATGGTTGCCAGATTTAGAGTAGAAGCAGTCATACAGTGCGAATTAAAAATAAACCCACACCAGAAGGGTACAAAATACTTTCATTATGTGATTCAGAATATATTTATTGTTTTATTTTTACTTCTCGTATTGAATCTGTTGAATCTAATACTGAAATTAATCCAATCCCAAATGTTAATAAAGTTGGTTAGCAGGTTTATCACCTGATATCTCAACTTCCAAAGAGTAAAGTATTTGATATTTACATAGATAATTATTTTACAAGTATTAATCTATTTAGTCATATGCGAAAAAATGGATATGGTGGTTGTAGAACAGTAAGAATTAATACTTCAAAATTTCCTACTTGTTTAAAAAAAAAAAAGATCTGTATATTTATTTTTGTTATGTTAATTTGTGTAACAGAA